TTTGATCGTCACGTCAGCTCGAGTCGTTATTTTATGGACAACTTTCCCGGCTTGCTCCGAGGCAGGACCACCACAGGAGCCCAGGCAGGGGCTTTGGCCACTACACGTGGTGGTGGCCTGGCAGGAGCCGGGGGAGCGGGGCTGGTGTCTCCCATCACTGGTTATTCCACATCTCCCTTGGAGCTGTGTTTGATCTGTTGATGCACCAAGCCCCCAGAGCTGCCTGTTGACATCACAGGAGGTTTTAACCCTCCTGGCATGACCTCAGACCTCCCCTCCCTCTTCTCCTGTGCTTTTCCTACATGCTCTTCCCCTGCTAAGTGGGGATATATGTGCTGGGAGCTCCCTGCCGCATCCCATGGGATAAGCCAGGATAAAGATCCCCCCCGGAGCGCTGGCTAAAGCGATCCCTATGACAGACAGCTGGGGCTGGGGCTAAGCTGGAGCTCAGCGCTGGCTATCAGTGCTGGATAAGGGGAAGAGGAGGAGGAGGCGGCTCTTCGGCCTCGGGATGTCAGGTGGGAGCAGGGCTGGTGGGGCTGCAGCAGGGACAGGATGGAGGGGCTGAGCCACGCTCCCCACTTGCCCCGTTTACCGGGAACTGAGGGCAAGAAGGGAAGGTGAATGAGCCGGCATCCCCTGCCAGCCATGGCTACGTCCAGTCTGTCCATCGACCTCTTCTCCTCTGTGTCCGTCAGTCTGTCTGACCCAGCATCCCCAAGCAGGGGGGACCAAAACTGCATCTTGGGACTGTCACAGAGAGGGGGACAGGGAGGGGCTTTTGATGCTGCAGACCCCCAGCAGCAGCAAGACCCTTTGGCCTGGCGAGGGGTCTTCTTGATTTTAAGGCAGGGCTGGAGGGTGCTGCCACTGTCCCCGCGTGCCCCCCTGGGGGAGCAGCTCAGCCCATCTGGCTGCACGGCTGCGGCCAGCACTGGGCACATCTGGCCCGGCAGATGTGGGGGCTTGGCGAGGGGGTCGCTGGCAATTGTGGGTTTCCATCTCCCTCTTTTCCCCCCTCTCCCCACTGAGGGTCACAAGTCACCCTGTCTCCCCACAGCCTGCCATGGGCTGGGAAGGAGGGGACACACAGGAGTCCCATCCCATCCGGCTGTGGGGCTGGGGTAGGTCCTCAGCTTGGGGGGTGTCTGGGCAGCCCCTGGGCAGGTCGGAGCCCAGCCAGGCATGGAGATCTGCTTTTTTGCTTGCTGTGCCGAGCTGCGAGGGTGGAAGGACCATATGGTCCCCTCTGCGCCAGCCTAATAAACCCGGGAATGCAGGTCAGGAGCTGCAAATCCCATTAACTGCAGTGGGCCATGGAGCAGAGGCAGCAACCAGGGCTTAACCCTTCTGTCCCCCCAAACCCAGACAAAGGTGGGGGCATGAAAGCCACCTTCCCTCCTGGGGGCTGCTAGAAACCAGGGCAGAGGCTGAGGACAGTGCTGCGGGGACTGGAGTCTCCTGAGCTGTTATGTTGTCCGTCAGTCCTTCCATCTGTCCATCCATCCTTTCTCCTTCCACCCATCATCTCCTGAGCTGTTGTGCTGTCCTTCCATCCATCCTTCCATCCGTCCTTCCTTTCATCTCCTAAGCTATTGTGCTGTCCTTCCATCCTTCCATCCATCGACTTTTCTCCCTAGAGCTATTGTCCTGCTGTCCAGCCATTTGCTGTCTGCCTGTCTCATTCCATCCTTCCATCCATCCACCCACCCACCCACCCTCTGTTCTGTCTGCCGGTTTATCTGTGCTTATCCACCTTTTCTTCCTTGCTGCCTAGCCAGCACCCATGCATCCATACACCCATGCATCTCCTTCCTCCCTTTTCCTTCCTTCCCACCCTCGGGCCGGGCTGTGATCAACCCTCCTGGCACCCACCCCGGGCTGGGTGCAGCTGGGTTAGACCTTCTCCCGGCAGGATTAGACGGCCAAGGAATGGAGGCGCCAGTCCCGTCCCCCTCCTGGCGACAGATTATAGCATCATTTAAATGCATTTTGTCTGTGGAAGGAAATAGCTTCTCTGGGTGCCGGCAATCCGCCTGTGCTGAACTAATTGTGACCATTGCATTAATCTCCATCCCGCTCGTCCCTGCTCCCTTCCTCCATCCGGCACGGCCCGGGTGCAGGTCTGTGCATGGGCTCGGTGCAGGGGCCACCCCGGGGGTCCCTACCGCAGCAGAGCTTGGCCACACCAAGCTGCACATTGCTGTGGTGGCTTACCATGTTGTGCAGGGTCCCCAGCGAGTGTCTTCTGCCCGGCTGCAGAGAGGAGAGGGGCTTTCCTCATCCCCCTGATGCACAACCCTTACTTGCCATCAGAGAATCCCCATGGCAGGGAGGAAGGAGCCGGTTTCTGGGGGGGGCAGGCTGGGGGGCTCTGCCATGAGGTGGGGCTGGGGGGCAA